AATCTAATGTATGAAATATGATATGTCAAGAGCTTTGTAATGTTGTGAACAACCAATAAAAAAAAATTAAAATTAAAATTAAAAAAAATTAAAAAAAATAAAAATATTTTCACAACAGAGAAACAACAGTGGTTAAAAGTGTCATTTTATGTGGAAGTAAAAATAAAATCAATAATCATAAAAATAATTTTTATGAATGAGAAAACATTGCTGGAGCTTGGTTAGGATCACACAGAAACAAAGCTAGAACCCAAGTCTTATACTTTACAGATTTTTTTTCCTTATTATATAATCCTTTAACCTTCAACCTTAGAAATTTTGGCATAGATTACCCTCAATTTCTAGAAATAAATTTCATAATGTTGACAGTGTGAGAGACAGAGTTAGAAATATAAAATTTAATTAAACTTCAGGTAGGATTACTTATTTTATGATTAAGTATCTACTTAGTTTGAAATTTCTCAAATGCCTGTAAGTCAGGAAATTCAGTAGAAATATAATAGACATGATTCTATTAGGAAAATTAATAATTCCCTTATCTGGAAAATAGAGATAATATTCCGGAGCATGGGGTTCCTGTGAAGATTAACTGCAACTAACCAGGCAGAGTTCTTCTGGCATGCTGTGTTAGTCAGGGTTCTCTAGAGGGACAGAATCAACAGGAAGTATAATCATAAAAGGCGGACTTATTAGGCTGGCTTACAGGATCAGAAGCTGTATAGTCCCTGATAGCCGTCTGCAGTCTAGAGAGCTGGAAGAACCAGTAGCTGCACAGTCCAAGAGGCTAAAGCCCCAGAATAAGAGGGATCAATGGTGCTACCCTAGTTAGAGAACAAAGGCTTCTGGAGACTCAGCTTTGGAAGAGTGAAGAAGCTAGAGACTGATAGCCTCAGTTAATTATAGCAGCAATCAAGAACCTGATCAAGAAGAATGGAGCTTGCATCTGCTGCTGCCTCCTTGCTCTTCCAACTTTTATTCCATTCAAGCCATCATCCTATTGGTCAGTGCTGCTCAAGCTTAGAGATGGTCTCCATTTTAGGTGCCTATCCCACATGCCAAGCATTCCTAAACACATCCTCACTGGCATACCCATAATCCTCTTATCCACAGCATCTCTTAATCCAATCAAGTTGAAAATTCAAATTAACCATTACACAAGCCCTGCATACGCTAAGTTTTATAATATTCAGAGCAAATCATTTGTGGACAGGCATGGCTTTCCACTGCTTCTGTTTTTTAATTAAAGTGTGCCTCAAACAGACCTTTTTATTTATCAAATGCCTACTTTTAAAAATTATTTGGACTATTCAGTGTAATTTTTGGTTCTGATTTTTGCCTCTGACTAGTTGCCAATCATACTTCAAAAATCTAGGATGTACAAAACTTAAAATTCTCTTTCTAGCATTGGTCGTGTTCAGGCTATGCTGGATTCCATATGGTTCAAATGAAAGTTAAAGTACAGGAATTCATAAAGGCAGAATAAAGGCACATTATGAGACAAAAGCAGAGGTAAAAATTAAGTAAGAATTCTGGCAAAAAAAATTAAAAGTGAAAACTTGGAAAAAGATCCAATTATTACAAAACGTGTTGCTGTTGATCAAGAATGACTCATGTAACCGTCGTGATTCTGCAATCTGCATTTGGGGTAAAATTGGGAGTTCATAACCCACTTGAATCTAATGTATGAAATATGATATGTCAAGAGCTTTGTAATGTTGTGAACAACCAATAATAATAATAAAAAAAAGAATGACTCATGTAAATATACCGCTTACTTTTCTTATCCCAGAAATGGAGGGGGCTGGTGGTGGCGGGGGTTTGTCAGCAATTCTTTTCTCAGATGTGTGATCTTGTCACTAGATCTCTGGGTCCGTTTAGATAAGGCAAGGTAAAGTGGGGAGGCGGTTAATAATTCAGAACCTCTCCAAGGTCTTGGATGGAATAGGGCAGGCTGCTCTCCAGTGTTGGGATAGAGCTCTGTGAGATGAGATCTGCTACTGAAGTCTCTAATGCAATAACCAATCACAGTGGCTGCAATGGCACTCACACTGCCACTCTCATTAGCTGTGGACAAGGACTCCAGACTTCAGTTTTTGAATGGTTCAATCATTAATGAACCTTCCCGGGTTACTAAGATGAGTCTCCTCTTGAAGCTGTAAATATACAGCCAAGTATTAACAGGATTTTTTTTTCCTTTTGAAGATTATTCTAGGTGGGGGCTACATAAAACTATGTATTTATACATAAAACTATATATTTCTTCCCAAACGGAAGCCTGCAATCCTGCCCGCAGGTATACTTCCCTAAGAGCTCTAAGAAACCTACAGCTGCGGGAATTTAGGGGGAGCAATCTCCTGTGACCGCGCAGTGGCAGAGGGCCTGTGCCGACTGAGGCGCGCAGCTGCAGAATTCCCCCAGGGTAGCACCCGCCGAGGGACAGGCCAGCTGGAGGCTGGGGGCGGGCAGCAGCGACCCGCGGTGCAGCAATCCCAAACGCAGATGCTATTGGAAACCAGGGCAGACGGCCAGGACCAAAAGGTAAGACTCCCCAGTTGATTTTTCAGCTGAAAACTTGCGGCTTCTAGAGAAGGACGGCTTCACTGTCGAGCTCCCGGGGCACTGATTGTCAGGGAACGAGGCAGGAGAAAAGTGCAGACAAAATCAGCACCGTTCAGTTTGGACGAGAGTCGCGGGGATTCTCAGGCTGAACAATTAAGAGGACTTTTAAAAACCACTTACCGCCTTTAGAGTGGGGATTAACACTTGCCCAGGCGCCCTCAGAATCCACAGAAGAACGGGGGGCGGGTCGACAGTTTCCAACTTTTACAGGCTCCGCCTCGCCGGCGCACTTCTCTTGACTTGCAGGGGAGGGCCGGAGAATCTACCGAGGAACGGCGCGACGAGGAAGTTTGGCCCTCTCCGGCCACCGTTCGCTTCAATATGGCTGCCCCCAGGGAGAGGAGAGATGAATGCCGAAGTGGAGAGCTAGGACTCTAAATTCCTCACGCATGGATCGCAGCGCAGAATTCAAGAAGTGGAAGGCACAGTGTTTGAGTAAAGCAGATCTCAGCCGGAAGGGCAGTGTGGACGAAGATGTGATCGAGCTTGTGCAGCTCCTGAACGCGCGAGAACAGTTTTTCACTACCAGCTCCTGCGCTGGCCGCATCCTCCTCCTAGACGGGGTGAGGCTTCTTTGTGCCCTTCCAGCGCCTGTCCTCTGGTACCCAACTTTAGAAGCCCTGTGCCCACTCAATGGAACACCCAGTCCGTGTTCCTCTGGTGGGTGGTCTCGGTTTCTTTATGTGTGTATCAGACCAGAGCTTCTAAGACAGTTTTGCGTATGAATCTCCTGGAGCGCGGGGTGGAGGGGTGTCTTTTAATAAAGCAGATTCTGGTTCTGTATGTCTAGGGTAGGGCTTGATTTTGTGCATTTTTAACAAGTCCACAGATGATGGCCTGAAAACTATGTTGAGTGGAAAGGGTTAGAGAATTTGATTTTCTCCAGGCCTGGAGAGTTTGAAGCCTGAGCCCACACTTCAACCGGTCTACCAAATCCTTGCTACTACTCAGTTGAACGTCATCAGATTTAAGGAGCTCACTGCCTCCTAGCGGCCCACTGCATTATTACAGCCCTGGTAATTTTGTAATAGGGATTGGGTGAGGGGAGTATATTGTAGGAGGGTCAAGCTCTCAGGCTTTGGAGTGATGCTACTTAGAATCCAAATCAGCTTCTGGAATTATTGGCTGTGTGACCTTAGGATAGCTATTTAAACTCAGCTCCTTTCTGTTCCATGAACTGAGGAAAATAGAGTGTCTGCTCTAAAGGAATTATGTGAAGGAACTGGGACTCTTTTGAAATATTTAGCATCAAGCACCTATATTGTGTGCTTTAACATTTGGCTGTGTACTCATTTTTTAAGTAATATTGATTTCAGAGCATCGAAGATAGCATATTCATAGGCTCATTATTTAGGTCCAGCATAGACTGATCATTTGCTGTTTTCCCAAGTTTTCAAGGCCTGTTGGTTTTTATATTGCTTCCATTGCATGCGGAGCACTGACACTATTGCCCATAGAACCTCTCTCATCCCCTCTTTCTATCTCACCTAGATTTTGCAGTAGTTTCCAAACAAGTCACTGAACCAATGTTTTTCTTTCTCCCCCAAACCATGTATGTATGATGTATTTGTGTGTGTGTGTAGTGGTAGTGGTGGTTGTTTTTTTTTTTTTTTTTTTTTAAGACAGGGTCCCCCTAAGTTGCTTAGGGCCTTTGCTAATTTGCTGAGGCTGGCTTTGAACTTGCAATCCTCCTGCCTCACTCTCCCGAGCTGCTGGGATTGCAGATCTGGGGCCACCATACCTGGCTAGATAAACTTTTTTTAAAGCAGAATTATTTTTGTCATTCATTTATGCTGAAACTTTATTGCACACTTTTTCACATCAGAAAATACAAATCTCTACCTTTCAACCCTGTTTTCCACAATGCCTCTTCATATTAAGAAACTGAACTGTTATCTTGTATTTACCAATTTTGCCTTTACTTTTCTTTCTGAAATGTTTTCCCCATCTCTACATATCTGAGAGACGATTCTCAAAACTTTCATTTTTTAACCCAAAACACACACACATACACATACATACTACTCACTTAAGGTAATGACTGCCCTGGACTGGCTCAGGCTTTGTGTGAATCTCTTTTCATTTTATGTATTATATTTATTTTTACTCTGCCTTATTTTAGAAAGAGTTTGGAGCAACTTACCTAAAGGGAAAAGAAAAAACAAAAAGTGGGGAAATCTGAATAAAGGAAATACAGATAACATAAATCAGAGATTGCATTAGTGCTCAATCATGCAATTAATTCCTGTAAACTTGGTGAAGATGGATCACACATTGTCTGGGAGATTTATAGCAGCCAGTACAAGGTTGTACACATAGTTTACTAAAGTTTTACAAGGAAAACAAAACAGTTATTCAGAAAATACTGTCTCTTGTCCAGAGAGCAATCTCCTTTGGACCCATTGTATATTGTATAAATAGTTACTTTGTAGAAGTACCATGATTTCTGTGTATGTGGTTTCCTATCTCTTCTTTGCAGTCTTTTAAGGGTAGAATATGTATATACCTTATAGGATTTTGTAATAAATGTTTCTCCACTTATGTCATTTTAAAAATGTGTTCCTTCTTGAAACTTTATGACTTTTCAGTCCTACCTCTCTTTTAGGCTGCACATGAAGTCTATTACAGAATTAATAAACATATGCTCATAGAGACCAGAAAAATATTATAAAGATGTGAACAGCATAGACATCAGTAAAGAGTGGTAGGTCTTTTGTATTATTGAGACACTACTATCCTGCAAAAGGTATTTTTTTAAAAAATGGTAATAGAGTGCTAGCCAAATAAAACCACACAACTCAGATGCTGTTAATGGAAACTAATTATAATCTTTTTCTCACAAAAATGTTTCAGAGAACATTAAGTACCTTTACCTTTCAAATCATATGTCAAATCATTTAAGTTCATTTTTGTTTATAGCTAACTTTACCCAAAAACATATTGAATTGTTTTCAGTAATTATTAAAAATTATTAATTTAAGAAAGCCCTTAATATGCTACACAGTATACTTTTATTTTTATAAATATTTTATGATTAAATTTCTGGTTTTTGTTATTTTAGGGTATAAATGGTTTGGGGGTTCAGAAACAAAACTGTTGCTGGCTACTAGTTACACACATACCTTGCGTAAAAGATGATATGGTAAGTTCTTATATATAAATTTAGAAATAAACTTTAATTCACAGTTACTTTAAATACATATGAAAAGAACATAACTTTCAAGGTGATTTATGTGCATAATTATAATGGCTGAAGATTAGAAAGCTTTCATTACAATGGCTTTTTTGAGTCCTAAGAGATAAAATTGTGGAAGTATAAATATGTATGCTAGCATTACTATCTATGGCTCAATAAAACATAATCTTTTGGACATAGTAGAAAGTTTATGGATGCTGGACAGGTTAGATCCAAATTTTGAATTTTAATTCTGCTGTTTAATAACTGTGTAACTTGGAACAAATTATAGAAGGAGAAGGGGATTATCCCTGACCTTGCATTACCAGCTTCACTGATATAAATAAATTATACATTTCTTACTAGGATTGCTTTTGGAAAATCTTTATATCTGTGCTCAGTTAGTTCCCTAAATTGAAGTGTTTAGATGAGTTCATATAAGTTAGTATTAGTCGGGAACTTTTCATATCCAGTGAATATAGAAATCCAATTCCATCTTATGCAGAAATCACAATCTATTTATCCAGAAAGGACAGAGGTGAAGATGGAATCAGGTACTGTTGGACCAGGTACTCAAATATTACCTTCAGGACACTCCCTCTGTCTTCATTTTTTGGTACTGGTTCTCTGCATGTTTGCCCATATCTTTTCTGCTGCAGATAGTCTTTATGGCAGAAATGAGAGCTGCCAGCAACCCCAGCAGAAAAAAACTTTGTTTTCCTAAAATTTGTGTGTTAATCCTAGAAAAGTACTCTTGAGTTGTCCTGTGTTCTCCCTTTTAGCTTAATTATTTTTGCTAGTGGAATGATATGTCCTTGATCAAACATAAACATTTGACATCTTTGATATGGTAGGGAGAGTAATGAATGATAGGGTCATGATTGACAGTCATACCAGAATCAAATGGTGAAAACAAGGGAGGGTGCTGCCTAGGAATGCTTGACAGACAGACATAATAACTGTCTTGTATAAATTCTAGCTCAGACATAGTATTACATGTTTCACTAGGTGGTCAGGCTATGCTGCAGGATAGACTGTAACACAAGTGCAGCCAAGGTCAAAAGGCAGGTAGGTACCACACAGGAAAGAGACTAGTGCATGATTTAAGGTTGGTAAGAACAGACAACACACACAATAGACTTAAGTAGTATAATATTTACTTACAGCAAGAGAAGAAAGACAGTATAAGATCCAACTCCTTGCCATGTATTATGCCCTGTGGCTAACAGATCTATAACACAGCTGTCCAGGGCATTTTGGACATTTATCCCACTTTGTGCTAAAGTAAAAGGACCCTTACCCTTGCCCCATGGGGTCTGAAATCCAGAAAATTTTGAACATGCATGAGGGCCACTGATGCAATATGTAACTAAGCAATTCCAAGAAAAGTTTACTTGTGCCCAATGCAGAGAGAACTGGAATATATTGGATTTGCTCTGAATTTTGTGTATGTGTGCAATACAATTGTGAGTTCACTAGCACATTCCATATGAAGCAGAGTTATTGGGAGATATCAAATTTGCTTGGACTCTTCTCTTACAACACATATGGTCCTGTCTCAATCTAAACAAATTTAAATAGTTCTCGTAGCACAGCTTTCATATATCACATTTTTTTAAAAAAGAAAAAAAAAAGTCTTTTGTGGAATTCAATAAAGTAAGCTACTACTTTAACGTTTATGGGAGAATTGGAAATTGAGACTTTACAGAAAATAAGCAGTTTAACCAATTTTTGCTGAAAGAATTTAAAAAGCAGATGAAAAGTTATTGCAAACAAAGTATGCCGAGTTTGTCTAAAAATTTCTAGGAAAAAATTAAAGTTACATGTGAGATAAAGTGTTACCTATTGATCCTATAGTTGAGTCTGATGTTATCACTTTTTATTGATGTAGATGGTAGCTCTGAAGAAAGCAAACGGTGATGCCGTTTTCAAATTTGAACCATTTGTTCTTCATGTGCAGTGTCGGCAGTTGCAGGATGCACAGATGCTGGTAAAACTTTTAAATTAATTTAGAAGTCTGAGTAGATTGAATTTTAAACATTCAGCTTCCTATAAAAATATAATGATGGTAGTTTATTTAACTGTTTATTAATTTATTTATCTATCTGATCAGTCTATTTATTTCTTATTAAAAAGAGTACATAATAATCACTTGCAAAATATAAAATCTAAATTGTTCTTCCTGTTTTCTTCCTTAACCTTTCTATTTATAAGTTTTACTTCCACATTGTATCTTTCGGTTTTGCTTCCTGAGTTCTTAGACAAAACACCATGGAACTACGTTAAAAATTATCCTAAAGAATATTTCATTTTTCTCATCATTTAACTGAGTATTAGGTAAATGTCTTTTCAGTTGTGCTACACAGAAGTGTTTCATCTCCCTATTCATTTTTATACCTTTTATATGTTTACATATAAAATTAAATGGTGTTGTAAGCATTCATTTAGCAATAATGCATCGAGTCCCAGTGTGTCCGGCACATGATTAGAGACCATTGGCTCCTCAAGGAGGAGGGGATAGCAAAAAAACAAACAAACAAAAAATCCTGAACAGGCAAATAAAGAAAGTAACAGCAAGGTGCAAAATATCCTAAGAAAGAAAAAACAAGCTGGTGATAGAGAATAGTTTATAAAAAGAATGGCCTTTAGCACAGGCTTTTCTGAAGAGATTTCTTTAAGCTAAAATTTAGAAGGAACAGAAAGAACTAGGCCTCTAACTGGTACATGAATATTCCAAGCAGATTAAAGTATATAGTACAAATTTCAGGAGCAAAAAAGAGCATGATGTATTCACAGAACAGGAAGAACAGGAAGTCTAAAGGGGAGAGCATACCAAGAGAAGGTGAGAGGTAGACTAGGACCAGTCACTTAGGGCCTTGTAGAAAGGGTTTGGATTGTTTTCTGGCTTGATGAAATTTGTTCTGAAACCTCAGATCTGCTCCAACAAATTAGCAGTTGGTCACATTGATCAAAGTGGGAAATGGTGGTAGCTTGGCCTAAAATGACAGAACTGAAAAAGGGGGAAAAGATACATTCCAAATATATTTTAGTGAATCAACTATTGAGGTTGCCTGGGAGGGTGGGTTAGGGTGGGAATAAAAAATTTAAGTCACATATTCAACTTGAAATGTCTTTGAGATACTGGTTTTAGATGTAGATACTTGTCTGTTAGGCTGCTATAATAAAATATTAGACTGGGTGACTTAGAACAAAAAATTTATTTCTGAATGCTGGAAGTAAAAAAATCAAGGTGCCCGCAGGATTGGTTTCTCTTGAGGCCCTTCTCCTTGGCTAGTAGATGGCTACCTTCCCCCTATTACCTCTCATAGCCTTTCCTTTGTGAGTGTATACCACTGGCATGTCTCTCCTGGTATGGACACCAGTCCTATTAAATTAGGACACCAGTCCTATTAAATTTGTACCTGAATTAACAACTTAAAGGCCCTATCTCCAAATCTCATCACAATGGGAACTTGGGCTTCAGCATATGAATTTTAAACTCTATGAACACAATTCAGTCTATAATAACACTTACATGAAAATTTCAAATTGGCTTTTGGGTAGAATTCTGGAACTCAAAGGAGCAACAGTGTCTTCAGACACTGTCAAACTTACCCCAGGCGACAAAATCATTCCTGATTAAGCTCCTGAGCTGGAGTAAAGAAGAGGCCCACATTTAGTCCCAAGGGCCCCATACAGAAACATTTAGAGACTGATAAAGTAACTTAGTCAACCCACAAGATCAAAATTTTTGTGCTTTAAATGCTTTACTCATATTATTTCAACAAAGTTTTTTTAGAAATGAAACTGAGATAAGCTGTTTTTACTTAGAGAAAACATTTAACTCATTTAAAAGAATTTTTTATTTACTTTTAAACGACATGGTTATAGGAAGGATTGATGTGTGTATGTGTGTGTGTGTGTGTGTGTGTGTGTGTGTGTATGTATGTGATTTTCTGCTTTATATAAACAATTACTAGCCAAATGTCTCTATTTTACTGAATTCTAGTTTTATTCTTTCAATGACACTTCCAAAATTGATATTCTGGTATATCTAATAGGAATGCTCTTAGGACTTATAAGCATAGTCCATGTACCCAAATAACCTTAATAAGTTTTGGGGTCATTTATGTTTCTGTCATTTATGCAACTGAATAGATGATCCGATTAGCTAGAGTGTCAGAATTTAACAAGTTTTATTTTCTTACAGCATTCAGTGGCAATTGATTCTGGTTTCAGAAACTCTGGCATTACCGTGGGAAAGAGAGGAAAAATTATGTTGGTAAGATGGATTTTGGCACAAAGCAGTTTTTTAGTACAAATTTTATTGCCATTTTATTCAGCAACATATTCTGTTCTAAATGGCAAATTTCAGAGTTTAGATTTACATTTGAGGTCTTATGTTATAATTCTCTTTGCCTACTTTAAACTTGATTTCTGTTCTCATCCTGAGCAGTCAAGTTCTGCTTTAATAAGTACCATGGTATAATGACAAGAACCACAGAGGAGTCTAAAGTCCTCTCTATTGATACCACTGGGCCCCAGTTATGCCACATGAACTCATGCAAACTCACTTAATCCCTCAGCATTTGAATTTTCTCAGTTTTATCAGAGCTTCATTGAACTACTGAACTAGGGCCAAGTCCAGTCCACAGGGAGCCAGATTCCACTATGTTTATGGATTAACTATTGGCCAAAGTTGCTTTTGTGCCACAGCAACAGAATTGAGTAATTGTGACAGATACTGAATGGCCCATAAAGTCAAAAATATTTACTCCCTGTCATTTCACAGAACATATTTGCTGGCCCCTGGCTAAATGATTTTTAAAGCCCTTAGTCCCACATTTTCTATCTTTTCATGGCCAAGCCAACCCCTAGTTATTTTGCCCAATTTTGATCTACTGTGGTATTCACTGTTTGGCATGAGATGTCTTGTTTGTTTTTGAATTGTTTCAGATTATCCTCTATTCTAGCTCCCTAGAGTTTTTAAAATCTATTTTTAACAAATAGCCTATTTCCCAAATAGGGTAGGCCCATGAAAGAAAACACCTGCAAAGCCTGAATAAATAGAAAATCAAAGCCCTCGGTACTGGTTTGTGTCCTCACCTGACTCCACACAGCCATTTTCCCACTTTCTCTCCTTTGTCCTCTGTATCTAATTAGTTAGGAGTCCTATCACTTCTCCCTCTCATTTCTCCACCCCAGGCCCTCTGCCCCGGCTTCAGCCCTCATTATTCCTCACCTCAGTCTTTTTACACTTGTCTTTTGACTGGCTTTCCTATTCCAGGTTTTGTCCTAGAGTCCCTGCAACCAACACTGTCAAAATCCCCCTTCTAAAAAAATCAGGGTCTCCAAATATTTTCTCTGATATTCAGGTCATCTTATGTCTGTGTATTTTTGCTCATCTTCCTTCAGCACACTTACACTGCAGCCATATGGAGCTATTAGATGTTTCCCGAAGGCTTTAGGCTCTCCCATGGCTCAGTGCCTACAGAAAAGTTCTTCCTCTGACTGGAACACCTCCTTCCCCTTTTCTATGTCTGGTGCAATTGCACTTACCCTTTTCCATAAAGCTGAGTCCTCAGCCTTAATTAGTGGTTCCCCTTCTACCTTTTTGTTAGCATTGTGTGTGTGAGCTCGTATGTGTGCATGCATGTTTCTTTATCTTATCACTTAAGTTGCCTGGCAATTCTTTGTTCACTTACTATTTTCTATTCTATGGTGTGAGTCCTTAAAAGACTCATATCCTCTGGCCTCTTCTCACCTTATGGGAGGCCTGGAATAGTACAGATGTTCAGTAAAGATTCATTAAATGAATTTTTACTCCTCGTAATAGTTTTTGTTGCTGTTTTTCTTAACATCTCTCCAGTGTTAGGATCTACTTAGAATATGTGAACTGTTTCATCAGCAGGGTTACTAAGATTGGCAACGCTAAGGCATTAGGAAAGCAACTTTGTGTGGTAGGGGAGCCATGGGTTACTCTTAATCATTCTTGGCATCCATTCCCTTTAGATTTTCCCTTGAGGCTTCTGTTGAGGTTTCATTTATTTATTTTCTTTAAATTGTGTACTAAAGCTTTCTAAGCCATAGTTAGACTGAAACTGTTCAAAGTTATTGGATTCTTTGATAGTATCTGCTTCTCTGAAAGATAATATGTAGAAAGCTTTCTTTAGAAATGACTGTACATGATTGGAAAATCTATTTAATCTTCTTTGGTTCAACTGTGTTCAGCTAATTTATAGCAAAGACTTATATGCTGAAATGGAACTAAGCTATGTTCAAACTCAGGCCTGACTGGGACTTTTCTTTAGTTATCTTCATTGTATAGAGATTATTAAGCCTTCATATCTCAATTGTTTTTCCCCCTAGGCTGTCCGGAGTACACATGGTTTAGAAGTTCCATTAAGCCATAAGGGAAAATTAATGGTGACAGAAGAATATATTGAATTCCTGTTAAATATAGCAAACCAGAAAATGGAGGAAAACAAGAAAAGAATTGAAAGGTATACTAATTAGATATTTTTATGGTATTATTAATATGCCTAGGTCATCCTTGAAAATATTAATTCACACCATCATTATATCTCAAGTTTTTATAATCTCAACTGCTTGTCTATGTCTAGCCTTATCATAAATAATTAATAGACGATCAAAGTAATAGATGAGAATAGGTCAGAATAGATTAGGAACCAAATGGAACATAAAGACAGCTGGACATATGACCACCAGAAACAGGCATTAAGGAGAGAACTGTAATCATTTAGGAAAGAGCCCACCAGCAACAGGAACCATAACTGATAGTTAAGGCAACCGGGAAAGATGTGCTCACTTGCCCTGCTTGTGACCCACCAGAGATTACCTGGAATCTCCCTCTGAGGAGTATAGCCTGGGTTTTTTGTTTGGCAAGTTTTTTTACACCTCTAGCCAGTTTAATTCCCTACTCTTGTCATAGATTCAATCTAGAATTGCCATAATTATACAGCCAGGAAGGAGTTCAGCTGTCTATTCACATCTTATATACTTTTGTTCTTTAACTTCACTTTCTGACAAGTGAAATTCTTATGTTAACTTTCTTTCTCAACATTTTCTAGTATGTCTCTTTGCCAATGATTCTCCACATCATAATTAGAATCATTTCTGTGAAGTCCAGAGGAATCCTATTGCTTAACTTGCCTGATTAAAATTCTTTAATATCTAGAACTTTTCTGAAATAGCTGAGACTAGAAATGACAATGGTAGCATTGTAACCCAGTGAAAGAGGTTTTTTGTTTTTTTTTTTTAATCTGTAATTTGAGAGAAGTACGTACCTTAAAGAATAATTGTTAGAATTCATTTGATCACATGTGCACATGGCTGGCCTCCCTGTCATGTGATGGACTCTCTCAGAATAGGATAGCCCTTATTCTTCATTAGCTCATGGAGAGTAACCACATCAGTACCACCATCCAGACTTTCTCAATTGGGGATCCTCATTTGAACCATGGAATTCATAAATTAATCAAGAGATTGTTTTCTCAATTCTCCCAGGTATGATATGTATCAAGTACTATTTTAGACACACTGAGAGAAATTGATTCATTACATACAGTGATGTCTTAGAGCATTAGGACTTAATTTTCTAACTGAACCCTGGCAGAGAAAATCTGACCATAAAAACCTGGCCACAAAGAGCAAGTATTCTAACTCAAGTGATGATTTCAGCTAGTCTACAGAATAGTTCCCCACTCCACTAGAATACAGGTTTGAGATATATGTAGGTACTTATTGGTACCATTCCAAAAGTTTACTACATTTGTTAGATAGTAATCTGGTGAGACTGTTTGTTAAAATGTAGGAGGTAGCAAATCAGTTTTCTCTGTTTCCTTACTTGAATTTCAACAAGATGATAAATATAGCTCAAGATCAACTAACTATACACCTGGTGAAGTTAATTGAGCCACGTTCACCAACTATAAAATCAAATTATGCTTTAAATCCATTGACTCAAAAATGTTTTGAGATTATAGTATGCATGCTGCTATCAAGAGAGCCATGCTCATCATATAAAATCAGGGAAAAATTAAAGAAGGGTAAAAGTGTCTTAAGATACTGATTAGAAGATTACATGTGAATTCAAAAAGTGTGAACAAATTAGGGAACTCCCTTGGGAACAGCTGTACATTCAACCAAATGCAGAGGAAAAGTTACTCTTCTGATGTTGAAAAGAGAAGAAATAATAAACTCTGGAGGTGATGAGTTAGGCAATCAATGGGGAATACTAAAAATGTTTTGTCATAGGACCAGTTTTGCAACTCAGGTATCTCTAAGAGAATTGTAAAAACTCAAAAAATATACTAATGTATAAAATGTGTAACACTTCAGCAGCAAGAGATACTCTGGAAACATAGAGATCAAAGTTAATAGAAAATATTTTTTTCTACTATAATATTTAATAGAAAAAGATCTTATTTGTTTTTTAAAAAAGTCCCAAGCCCCTTGTCAGTGGGAAGAGATTTATCCAGCAGGAACAGCTGACTTCCTGTGGTTTCTGGAGCTGGGCAAGACAGGCCTGCAAGTTGCAGCAAACTGCCGATTTGGAGACTGGGAGAGACAGGGACTAACACCAGACACAGTATGATAATTTCATACATAATGATTTCCAGGTGAGACATAGGAAGCCTGAAGATCTTTTTACTAACTACAAGAGGAAGGCTTTCTTTGTGTCTGTTAATAAGAGGTCAGGGCATGGATCAGATGAAACCACCATTTGGCTATAAGTAGAATGAAATTAACCATGCTCTCCTTTTCATCAACTATATAATAAGAAAATGTTAACTAAAACATAGAACAAAAGAGCTAAATATATTGGCATATAATATTGTTAAGAATAAAGAAATCTAAAAGAGTAATTGAATTTACTTCCAGTGGTTGTTTTTTTTTTTTTAACTCTTTTAACTGTGGTAAGATATGTATAACATGAAATTTACCATTTTGTCCAGTGGCATTAAGTACATTCACATTGTATGCAACCGTTGTCACTATCCATTTCTAGAACTTTTTCATCATCCTAAATAGAAACTTTGTACCACTTAAACAATAACTCCCAATTCTGCAGACTCCCAGCCCCTGGTAAATACTAATCTGTTTTCTGGCCCTGAATTTGACTATCATAGGTACTTCATATAATTGAGATCATAGAATATTTGTCCTTTTTTTAAAAAAAAAAAAGGTCTGGCTTGTTTCACTTAGCTAATGTCTTCATGATGTAATGTCTTCATGTCTTAATGCTGTAGCACATATCAGAATTTTACTTCTGTTTAAGGTGATAATACTTCATTGTATTAATAGACTGCATATTATTAATCCATTTATCAGTCGTGAACATTTAGACTGTTTCCACCTTTAGCTATTGTGAATAATGCTATGGTACTCTGAACATCAGTGTCCAGATATCTGTATAAGTCCCTGCTTTCAATTCTTTTGGGTATATACCCAGAATGCAATTCCCAGTCATGGTAATTTGACATGTTTTTAAGATCCCCAATACTGTTTATGATAGCAGCTGTGCCGTTTTACATTATCACCATTAATGAGAAATTGAAACCATATCTTGGCTGATATTTTTTATTTTCTGATATTTAAATAATAGTAATCATAGTAGGGTGTATGTGAAGTGGTATCTCACATAGTCTTGCTTTGCATTTCCCTAGTAATTATTGATGCTTAGCATCATTTCATGTGTTTATTGACCATCTGTCTATCTTTGGAGAAATATCTATTCAAGTCCTTTGCCTTTTTTAATCCAGTTGTTTGGTTTTTTGTTGTTGTGTCATTGGAGTTCTTTATCTGTTCTGGATATTATTAGTCTGTAACCAGATATATGATTTGCACATATTTTACTCACTTTTTTTGAGTTGCCTTTTCACTTTTTTTTTCCAACTACTGTTTCAGTTTTTCACTTTCTTGATAGTATTCTTTAGTGTATAAAAGTTATACATTTTTATGAAATCCAGTGTATGTATTTTTTCTTTTGTTGCCTGTGATTTTAGTCTCATACTCAAGAAATCATTTCCAGATTCAGTGTCATAAAGCTTTCCCCCTCTTTTTCCCAGAGTTTTATAGTTTTAATTCTTGCATTTGGGTTATTTTGGGTTAATCAATGGTTGATTTTTAATATTGATAAGTAAATGACTGAGTAATGGGCTGATGAAATCGGGCCATCCTTTTTTTTTTTTTAAACCACAATTGCTCTCCAGTTCTTCCATGTGAACTTTTGGGGTATCCCAGCCTAGCTCTGTTCTCAGTCTCTTCCAGGTAGATTGTATTTGGTTCTTGACAACAAGTATACAAGGTATTTCCAGAGTAGACTTTATCCCATCATAAAGGTGATAGATTGGGTGAGGATGAATAAGTATTAGTTTTTTTCCAACAAGTATTACACACAGAATTGTAAAATTTGAAGAACTGCTAGGCACTGAAATTCAGAGAAGAATCCAAAATGGATCCTGCTTGGACAGCCTATATAAGTAGCATAATTATGAGTTCATGAATGCACACAAAAAACTATAATTCAACCTGGAAAGTGGCAAGTACCCCAATAAAGGCATAGAATACTCTAGGATTTCAAAAGAGAAACAGTTAAGTTAATTTGTGCAGAAAAGCGTAATCAAAACCTATGGGAGAAATCAGTGAGGTAGGCCTTAAAGTTTAGGATTTTTATATGAGGAGCCGTAGAGAAGGGGGAATTGCATGATAGGTAGAAAACCAGAGTACAGGTAAAGAAAAAGGGGTGGCAATACCTAAGCCATGAATGGGTATCCATGAATGACTCGATTTACCTAAAGGATAAGAGGAGGAAGAATTTCTGTCACATCACTTTGCTGCTTTCCTTTCTGCTTTTGGTGCTTCTTAGCTTCCCTGTGGATTTCTCTCTCTCTCTTTTTTTTTTTTTTAAATACCATTTAGTTAAACATTGTTCTCCAGGATTCTGCCCCTGGACTGTGGCTTCTAATGTGTAATATCCCATATACAGTTGGAGCAGTGTGCTTCCAGTGTGCTCCCACTTCATCTCATCTTTCTCATGGCATATTGAATGTGGCCTTACAACTCTGCAGCTCCTGATGATCCAAGGGCTCCTTGAGATGTAACCACAGACCCCATGTATCTCTCACCTGTGTTTTCAGTACTTGCCACAGGCCTACCACAGACCTATGTTGTTTTTAAGTAAAATGCTTTTGCTTAAATAATGGTTAAAATACAAATACATACTACATCAGAACTGTTTTTTGTTTTTGTGTTTTTGAATGATTTCCTCAAGAATGTGTTTCTAATTCAGAAGCCAAATTTCTAGCTGTTTATTGCAGTTGGTTCTCTAATGACCTTAAAAAAACAAGAATTGATTTTTTTTTTTTTTTTTTTTAAGGCTGAACTAAAAAGTAAAACGCACGAAAAAACTAAAGAACAAAGTACAAAGTTATCTATGGAATGAGAATCTTGACTAGAGAGGAACAAAAAACTCAAGTAATTTGATTTTCTTTTAGGGAGGAAATAAAACAGTTGCCTGAGCATACTGTTTTTGTTGCCTGTGAGAGCTGAGATTACACTTTGAGAATTAGGCCATGAAAGGGTCATAGTATGTGAAAAGAACATAGAATTGGAAAACAGGTTTCTAATTTATTATGTAAGATAGTTTTTCAAAGGAGCTTTTAAAGTTGTGTCTAAAAAGGAAAACTAACATTTGAAGTTTTTATTTTAAACTTTTAGCAAGAGAAGACTTTGTCCCATTTTTACCAGTTATTTTTTGGTAATCTAAGAAAAGTAGCTTTGAATTGTTAGAATTTTGTAATGAAAGATTAAAGCATCTGTACCTCTTTTATTACCTTGTGTTATATGACTAAAGAGACATTTTATACAAGCTTCCAATTCCTGATCATAAAAGAGCCATTTAAACCGGGCATGGTGGTGCATGCCTGTAATCCCAGTGGCTTGAGAGGCTAAGACAGGAGGATCTCAAGTTCAAAGCCAGCCTCAGCAATGGCAAAGTGCTAAACAACTCAATGAGACCTTGTCGCTAAATAAAATACAAAATAGGGCTGGGATGTGGGCTCAGTGGGCAAGTGCCCCCTGAGTTCAATCCCTCGTACCAAAAAATAGATAAGCCATTTAACTTTATTTTGTATTTTCTAGGAATAAAGTATAATCTAGAAAAAAAGCTTTGGTTTCCAAAGCCTGAGGTCTTTCTCTTTTAACTACACCTCCTTCTTTGAGATTGATTTGGTCATTGAAGAAATATTTATTGAGTGCCTATCATATACCATACATAGTACTGGATATCAGAGTATACAGTGGTGAGTGCATGTGTTCCTAAAACAGGGACAGGATATATAGTAATCTTGTCATTTATTAAGTAGTGTGGAGCATTTGGGAATTTTTGGATAGATTTGGGCTTTAGAGTTTTAGAGTCTGTCCAAGTAGAATCTTGCCTGTTCCTTCAATTAAAGAAAAGAAAATTGATCAATACAATAATATATTCTATAGTCAAAATTTTCCTGTTGTAATCCCATTATAATAGAATACATGAGTAAAATGGGATCACCACAATGGCATGGAAATTTCCAACTTCCAGATCATTCTAATTGGGAACCTAGGATAATACACATCTACCTTTTTTATTTAGTAGTTATTTATTCATTGTTTTCCGGCACTTTGTTATTTGAGTGTGCCAACCTTGTACTGCATGCTAAGAATATAACAGAAAACAAGATAGACATTTCATGACATCTATATTATTTAAAAATAGTCATTATTAAAAACTCTGTGCCAGGCACTGTGCTAGATACTTATCTGTATCATCTGTGATCTTCTGACAATGCTGCTAGGCACATGATATTATCCAGTTTTATAAATGAGGAAATGAAGACTCAGTGAAGTTAATTAGAATTAACCTACTTCAGCCTTCCCAGTGGAATGCTGGTGTCAAACACATGCAGCATTTCATGCCACCTGCTGCCTTGCGTGGAAGGTTGGTCACATACATTCACAGTATGCTACTATGTCAGGCAGATCATAAATGTTGCATGTTAACATGGGTGTAGAGAACAAAAGGAGCCAAATTTTCAGGGAGCTCACAGATTATTATCTCAAAAATGTAACACTAAAATTCCAGTGGAAAAATAAAAGAACATTTTTAATAAAAATGTTCAAATAACTAATAAACAAATGTAATAATGTCACTAATAAACAGATGAAAATTAAAATAATGAGATACCATATTAATATATTATTAAAGTAAGGCATGTTCTTTGATGGTAATATTTAATCTGTGAGTGAAATGGTCTGTCTGAAGTACTTCTATTAGAAGCATATGTTTTTGACCATCCATCTGGAAAACAGACAGTATTTTATCAAGTGCTTTAAAATGTTCATACCCTTTAACCATGTGATTACTTAGGTATCTATTCTAAGTAATGGATAGAAACTGGGATCAAATCATTTTCCAAAAGGTTTTTATATTGTTGTTTGTGTTACGAAAAAATTGAAAATAAAGGCCTATCTGGATAATATGATGTTATACTATTATTAAAAATTATTTTGTAGTTCATTTGATGAAATGGAAAATGTTCTCAATAAATGTTAAATTTGAAAAAGCAATGTAAAACTTTATATGTAATATAATTGTGTAAAAATACAACAGTTTTATGTCTTTAAATACATGAATACAGACTACATTAATAAATTGGAAAAAATATTAATAGTGGTATATCAGTGTAAAGGTATTCAAACTCTAAAGTGAACTTCTTACATGTATGATTTTTTTTTAATAAAATAATAATATTCAGGGTTCCCACCTCCCTTTGCTTGATTCCTACATTTAGAATAAAATGGAAATTGAGGTTGGATAGAGGGTGTTGAGAGATGGATGATTCCATCCCATCCCAATTTTTAGAATTGTTTTTAAAGAACTAAAAGCATTTTCCCCCTAATTGAACAGTGATAAAAGCAGGAAGCATATTTTTTCTTTGATTTATTTTATATTTATAAAGCTAATCTAGGATATTATCAAATTTGTGTAATTTATAAAATCTATGTATGTTTTCATCATTCACTTTCAGAATATACAGATATAATAATAGTACTTAATTCTTTACAGGTTTTACAACTGTCTACAACTTGCTTTGGAGAGAGAAACAATTACTTACTCACATACTAAGATCAAAGAGAAAAATAACCCATTCTGTACTCATAAGAAAAAGAGAAACCCAGAAAAACTACGTGGCAAATGTATCCCTGAAGAAAATGATAAAGAACCTGAAAATGATGATGACAGTGACCCAGGAATCAATGTTGCTATCTTCCCCAAAGATTACTGATTTGTTTCTGAAGTGTATTAGTAAAATAATATTCCTAATAGGTTCTATAAAGTTGCTCTTTATAAGAGTATTTTAGCTGGTTAATATCAGCCATTCAGAAAAGCAAGATTTAATTTCTCTATGTTTTAGA